CAGTGCAGATCCCTGATGTCTCTCCCTGTCCCACCAGCACTGTGGGAAGCTGCTGGACGAGATCCTGGTTTCTGCTCCCCAAACTCCAGCTCACGGGGCTGTGGCAAAGCCCCGGGCTCAGGTAATCCCCAAACACACCCCCCCCCGGTCCGGCAGATCCCAGTGGGAATCCTGGGGGTCCCAGAGCAGGGTGCTGGGAGAGCAGGGAGCCCCTGAAGCTCCATGACCATGGATATCCCTGACTCCAGGCACTGCCCAGCTCCCAGCTGCCCACGGAGGAGGATTTTGGGAAGGGGCCCTGGCTGGCCATGAAAACGGAGCTGGGGCTGGATGAGAGGGACCCCGGCTGCTTCCTCCACACCTACAGCGTGGTCATGGTGCTCCGCAAGGTGAGGGCGGCCTGGAATTCAGCTCCCTGCTCTTCCCTCACTCCTTGGAGCTGCTTTTAGGGCTGGAAATCTGTAGGGTGGGGGCTGAGCACAGACATCCACATCCCCGTGGATGATGAGGGCTGTAGAATCCTGGAATATCCCACAAGGAGCGTGGAGTCCAGCTCCCAGCCCTGCCCCCGGATKATCCCAAAATCCCCATTGTGCTGTGCAGGCAGCCCTGAAGCAGCTCCCAAAAAACAAAGTCCCCAGCATGGCTGTGATGATCAAAACCCTGACGAGGAGCAGCGCCGGYGCTGCCGCCGTGTTCCGGGACCCCACAGGTGAGTGGGGCCGTGCTGTGCCCGGGTGGGGGTCCCACCATCGTTTTGGGGCTCACACCATCGCTTTGGGGCTCACTGGGGTCCCTTCCTCATTCCAGGGGAGATGCAGGGCACCGTGCACCAGCTGCTGCTGGAGCAGAGGCAGAGCGAGCTCCGGGCCGGCTCCGTGCTGCTCCTGAGGCAGGTGAGGAGAGCTGGGGGAGCTGCTCAYCCCACAGGCAATGGGATCTCATCCCAGGGGAGTGCAGTGTTGGGGACTGTGACACAGCACATCACTTGTCCTATTCCCAACCCCGTTACAGTCTGGAATTGTGAATGTGAATATCAGGATAAGGGGATTAAGGGAATTGGTGTGTTTATATGGTACATTGTTGTTACAATTCCACAGCACCCCGGGTTTACAATCACAATAAAAGAGCTTCCCACAGTTTTTACACGTGGGATTTTTCTCAAATAACTAAAGTTTCACCTTCCATCCTAAATGGGGAGCAGTAACTTTGGGGTGTTACCCAGGAGCTGGCCAGAGCTGGCTCTGCCCCCTCTCTCTGCCCTCTCTGCAGGTCGGGGTCTTCTCCCCCTCCCACCGCAACCACTACCTCAACGTGACCCCCACCAACCTGCTCCGCATCTTCCCACCAGAGCCCGAGGGCTGCTCCCCACAGCAGGTGAGGGGGGGACACTGCTGGTGGCCCTGGAGGGGTGCTGGGACCCCCCCAAAAGGGTCTGGGCTACGGAGACCCCCGGAGGAGGGGGGAGGGATGGATAAATCCCCTGATAATTCATCCCCGCTGGCGTTTGCAGGTCCCTGCCCAGGCTGAGCTGATCCTGGACCCCTCCATGCAGCCACCCCAGGGTGTCCCTGTCACTGAGGATTGGGGACAGTCCAGGACAGCAGATGGCCATGGAGCAGAGCAGCATCCTGGGGGCTTCTCCGAGTGCCCACCGAGCTCTGGTCCGGGTTGGGAAGAGCCAGTGGGAGCTGGTGGGTGTGACATGGGTGAGTCAGAACCGCTCTGGGAGGGGAGGAAAAGCTCCGTGTCCTGTGGAAAACGGGACCTGAACAATTCCACGGTCCCGTGTGCACCCAAAACTCACGGATCCCATCCCGCTGTGCCGTGCAGATGACCTGGAYGGGCTCCTGGGAGAGCTGCCTGAGGATTTCTTCTCACCTGCGGCACAGGCTGACTGCGGCTGAGCCCGGAGCTGCTGCGAGGGTGACGGTGACGGTGCTGAGGAGCAGGTGACATGCCTGCCACCCGCCTGCTCCTCTCTCTTTTTGTGTGTCTGTGGTGTTCGTTGTGGAGCTGAGAGCTGTGGGGACATGGCCTCAGTGTTGTCCCCACTGCTCCGGGCGCAGTGGCCCCTCTTGCTCCCAACCCTGCATTAAAGGGCTGTTTTGTTTCTGCATCACTGTGTCCTCGTGTGTCACCCCTCTGTCCCTTCTCTGGGGTGTCCCTGCTGTCCCTGCCGTTCCTCCCGGGGTCTCACAGCCCCTCAGGGTTGAGGGATCCCAAATCCCACCCCTTGGGACGTCCCCACCTCGCACCCACCAACAGGTTAAACTCCCCGGACCCCGTGACTCTGTTTACCACCCAGGAGYTATTTATAGGGCCGCCAGCTCTGGGATTGATTCCACATCCGTGTGTGGGGCACAGCCCTATTTATAACCCCCCGGGCTGCCCCCCAAATCCCCCCCTGCCTTTTTGGGGTGCCCATGGCCCACGAAACGTTCGCCTTCAGCTCCTCGGCGCTGCGCTCGCTGCGGCTGCAGCGGGAGCTGCTGGAACGGGAGGATCGGCGCCGAGCCCTGGCCCGGGAATCGGCCTCACGCCGCTTCCTGCCCGGGGGTCGCCGCGCCCCCACGAGCCCTCCCCGCCGCCGCCAGTTCTGCCGCGACCCCGCCGTGCACAACGCCCTCTACGCCGGGGACCTGCCCCGCGTCCAGAGCATCTTCAGGGACGAGGAAACGGCGAATTTGGTGCTGGAGATGGTCAGCGAGGAGCTGGTGTGGTCACCRGAGCAGGGTACGGGRYTGGGKGTCTTTMATTTCTTCTTCCTTYTCTCTTCCCTGYTGTTCCAACCGTAAAATAAGCGGGGAGCTGGGAAAAGGGATGACTCCAGGTGGRGGTGCAGCTCCAGGTGGGCTGGGGGGAGCAAAGCTGGCTGTGGGGTCAGTATGGGGGGAGTGGGGGTTCTGGTGTGGGGTCAGAATGTGGGGCACCCCATGGATGCTCCACGGCTTCCCCTGCTCCAGCAGGGCTGTGGGTGGGTGGGTGAGGAATGTCCAGCGAGGGTGGGCAATCCCACAGCCCCCCGTGCCCGCTGACCCCGGCAGGGCTATGGGGGGGGGGTCCAGTGTGGATGGGCAATCTGGCAGCTCCCCATGCCCACTGACCACCTGCAGTACTATTGTGGGGGACAGTGAGGAGGGTCCAATGCGGGTGGGTGGTCCCACAGCCCCCCGTGCTCCCTGACCCCTGCAGGGCTGTGGGTGGGGGTCCAGCATGGGTGGGTGATCCCGCAGCCCCCCCGCCCCCGCTGACCCCCGCAGGGTGGGTTAGGAGGGTCCAATGTGGGTGGGCAATCCCGCAGCCCCCCGTCCCCACTGATTCCCACAGGGTGGGTTAGGAGGGTCTGTGTGGGTGGGCGATTCCGCAGCCCCCCGCCCCGCTGACCCCCGCAGGGCTGTAGGTGGGTGGGTTAGGAGGGTCCAGTGTGGGTGGGCAATCCCGCAGCCCCTCGCCCCCGCTGACCCCCGCAGGGCTGTGGGTGCTGAGCCCCCGCCAGCAGCACACCTCGCCCCTGCGCGTCACCGCCGCCCGCGGCTACGAGGACTGTGCCCGGCACCTGCTGCTGCGAGGGGCGGCCGTGGACGCTGTGGTGGGGGGCCGGGCCCCCCTGCACGACAGCGCGGCCGCCCCCCACCCCAACTGCGCCCGCCTGCTCCTGGCTTTCGGTGCTGACCCCAATGTGCTGAGCTCCGACGGCTCAGCCCCGCTGCACCTTTGCACCGCGCCCCACAGCCTCAGGTACGGYGTCACCTACGAGGGTCACCTATCTCTGGTGTGTCCCAGTCGTGTCCCCTGAGTGCCACATCCCCGCAGAGCGTCCCTTTTACCCTTTCCCCCCTCTCCAGGTGCGCAGAGCTGCTGCTGGCACACGGGGCGCAGGTGAACCTGGGCACGCGTGACCGGCAGGTGACAGCGCTGCACGTGGCGGCGCGACAGGGGCTGGTGGCTCACCTGGAGCTGTACCTGCACCACGGCGCCGACCCCTCCCTGCGCACCCACCAGGGTGAGACCCCCCTGAACGCGGCGGCGGCCGCAGCCGAGCACCCCGAGGATGCCGAGAGGTTCCTGCGAGTGGCCGAGCGGCTGCTGGAGGCCGGAGCTGACCCCGGGGCCGCGGGGCGTAAGGGTCACACGCCGCTGCACAACGCCTGTGCCAACGGGCACCCCGCGCTGGCCCGGCTGCTGCTGCGCCACGGCGCCGATGCCACTGTCCCCAACGGGGCCGGGGACACCCCCATGGACTGCGCCCTCCGCGCCGTGCACGAGTACCGGGAGCAGCGGCCCGAGGAGACCATCGCGCTCCTGCTCGACCACGGCGCCCTCCCCGTGCGGCCCAAGGTGGGGATGGAGGTGACGGGGGTSRCARGGGGTGGCGGTGSYGGTGGCGGTGTCACCCGTCAGTGACACAGCTCTGCTGGCAGATGCTCAGGTTGTGCTGCCAGCACCCGCCGGCGCTGGAGGTGATGCTCAACGCCTACGACCGCGTGCCCCCCGCCGATGGTTGGGTGGAGGACGTGCCCCCCGAGCTGTGGGAGGTAAGGCGGTGTCCTGCAGTGTCCTGCGGTGTTCTGGAGCGTCCTGAGGTGTCCCCGTGTCCCCACCCCAGCTCGCTGACCCCTGTGTTCCCCCCGTGCAGGAGCACCAGGCGTTCTATGCCTCGGCCGTGCGCATGGCGGGACAGCCACGGCGACTGCAGCACCTGGCGCGTGTGGCCATCCGGCGTCACCTGGGCGCCCGCTGTCACGCTGCTGTCCCCAAGCTGGCACTGCCACCCTCCCTGCGCCGCTACCTCCAGCTGCCCATCGAGGGGCTCATCTCCTGAGGGCCGTCCAAGTGTCCCCATTGGTGTCAATAAAGGACATGGCAGAGGTGGCTCTTGAGGCATCGTCCCTGTGGGACCACCAGGGTGGGCAATGGCAGCTGCTGCGGGTGACAAGGGACTGTGGGGAYAGGGGACAGGGGTGGGACAGGGGACGAGGGGGACAGAGCCAGAGGGTCACAGGTGGCAGGGAGGGGACAGATGGACACTGGGGGATGTGGGGACTGCGGAGGGGGTGACAGTGGGGCCCAGGGGGTGCCCGTTCCTGGTCATGTCCCCAAGGTGGGGGGTCCAGCCCGGGGGGTCCCACGCGGTTCCCGAGGCCCCACCCCGCACCGCAGGGCCCGTAGCCCCGCCCATGGCCACGCCCACAACCCCCCGCCCCTCCGCAGTGTCTCCGCCCCTCCATAGACCCCGCCCACCCGCGAGGGGGCGTGGTCTGTTTGCTCCCCTCCCGCTCGGCCACACCCACTGGGCGTGGTCTATGGGCGTGCCCGTGACGCGGCGCGCGCGCGCCCGCCGCCCCCTTCCGCCCCCTGGCGGCGGCGCCGTGTGACGTGGCGCTTCCGGAGCGCGGGCGGCGGCAGGCGGTGAGTGGGGGGGGCACCGGGACCCCCGGGGATGGGAGGGACATACCGGGACCCCCGGGGATGGCGGGGACACACCGGGACCCCCGGGGACCGGCAGGGACACACCGGGACCCCTCGGGACCCCCGGGGATGGCAGGGACACACCGGACCCCCGGGAATGGCGGGGACACATCGGGACCCCCGGGGATGGCGGGGACACACCGGGACCCATCGGGACCCCCGGGACCGCGGGGGCTGACAGACCCACCGGCACCTCCCGAGATGGCCGGGGATGGCAGGGACACACCGGGACCCCCGGGACTGCCAGAGACACCCCGGGGACCGGCAGGGACATACCGAGACCCCCGGGGATGGC